TTTTCCCCTGCTTGGGATGTTTTCTGCCATTACTTCTGTGAATACTTTTTTATGTCTTCTTCACTCTCTCCTGTTTCTTTGTTGACTCCAGTCAGTCTTATGTTATTCTCCTTTGCATCGTCTAGTAGCAGCTATATTGATTTCTCATGGTCCCTTACAATTTTGAAACAATTTTTGTTTTCCTGTTCACTAATTGCAACCTTATCTTTTATATCTGAAATTCTGTCCTCATTTTGGTTCATTCTGCTGTGTAGACTTTCAGTGCAGTTTTTAATCTCCTGGAAATCTGTTTTATGGATTCTGTTTGTTTCCTATGTTGGGATTCTGTCATTTTCCTGAGCTCCTCTCTAGATTTATTAATTATGTCTTGCACAATGAGCACAGTCTCTGCTGTTATCTGAGACATTATTTCTGATTTCATTTTTTCCAGGTCCTCTTTTGTGGCCAGTTCAGGGAGTCCAGGTGGTTTAGTATCAGAGTGTTCCATCTCCTTTCCCTTTGGGGTTGCTGTAGGTGATCTGGAAGTCTGTTTTTGCAATTTGTTTATGTGTCTTCTCATTTTGATGGGGGGCAGGGTGTATCTGTGCTGTTAGTACCCACTTGGCTCACCTCCTCTTCACTGGGAGCAGTGGTACAGCAGCCCTGAAGCCCCTATGTCTGTGCTGGGAGCAGTGGAATGGAGGCCCAGAAGCCCCTTCCTCTGGGCTGGGAGCGGTGGTACCCTGGAACCATTGACTTTCATCCACTTAGTGTTTAGGTATTCTTCACCTCTTCAGTTCCAAGGCAAATGCCATTGTCAATGTAGTTTACAAAACAGTTTATTAATCTAAATTAATACTCATTGTTACAAAACATTGTGCTCAAAATTTGTGTATCCTTAGAGGTATATTGACCTACATTTCCTTAAATGGCACTTAGTTTCAGCATTTTTTTCTTTCTAAGAAAAGTAATACCCACAAAACTCTATTTTAATTTCATAAGACTCTTCACATACATACATTTTCAGATCACAATTAAAAACTTTTGTCTGGTCACACATTTCTGGGCTTCTTTGTTAAAAAATATAACCCAGTCTTCATAACTGCTAGTAGAGTTAGAAACAATATGATTTCATTGACTTTTTTTTAACACTCAGCTGAAATACTTAAGATATTTTTTGGCATTAACTCAGGACTGAAAATCTGATTTCAGCATCTACATTATATTTTTTGTAATATTTATAACATCCTAATTAAGAGAAGGAAAAATTCAAATATTTATTATTTCTAAGGTACTGTGCTGGATGCTTTATATGTGTTAATTCATTTCACCTATAGGATGATGCTTTTGTTCATATTCTTATAGCCACTTTGCAGATAAGAAGGGCTTAGTTTGGAAAGTATAGTGAATTTGCCAATATTTACTTAGAAAATTGAGCAGCAAAACTGATTCTAGCTGATTGCAACTAATTCCAAAATAATTGTTCATTCTTTATTTTTTAAATACAAATTTTGCAGCATCAGAGAACTTTCCTTGTCTGATAGATGGTAGAGTGATAGCTAGTTCACTGTTGCAGTGTAAGAATGTAGTTCAGAGTCTGTCAATACTGCAGATCTCCAATAAACATCTGTTAAATTGGATTCAGTGGATGTTCCTGGTATATAAATGTAGAGGAGAGATAGTACAAGATTAGGGTTTAGTTGTTGGAAATATTCAATGTTAGTAAATTATGGTAGGCTTTGTAGTCAAATTGCTTAGGTTTGAATTCTGATTTAGCAACTTGCCATCTGTTTAATTTGAGTAAGTTACTTAGACTTTCCGAGTTTCAATTTTCTCACTTTTAAATAAAGATAATGGCTGGGGTTGTAGCTCAGAGGTAGAATACTTGTCAAGCACACTCAAGGCCATAGGTTCATTCACAGCACCACAACAAATAAATAAATAAACAAATAAACATATAAATAATAGTAATTCTACTTTCATGATTGTTAATGTAAATCTCATTTGTGATGCTTAGTAAATATATAATGAATGCTAATTATATTATTACCTTTCATTGAAGTAGGTTTTAGATGCCTTTTAAACATATGAGGTGTGATAAAAAATATAGTGAATATTTAAGTTAAAAATTTAAAACTTACAGTACAAGACATACACCGCTGTTAATCTCCTTTGAAAGACTCCCCTCCCCACCACTTCAAACCTGCTTATCCCATTGTTCTTGCCACTTGCTCAAGCAGTTCTGGAAGTCCTCTTTCTTGAGTGTCTTTTCACATCTGCTTCACTGTCCTCATTTTACTCAAAACATTTACAGAAATTTCTGCCAAATAAAACCCTGATGTATCCTGATCCAACTTATTCATTGAATCTACCAATCCTGAGATTTCTAGCTCATCCCCAAAGTCAAAATGAAAGGTAAACATTTTCAATCGATTAAGGACATTGAGGCAGCCACTACAGCACAGCTAAAGACATTCATGAAAGAGGACTTCCAGAACTGCTTAGGAAGTGCTAAGAATGATGGGACAACTGTGTTTGAAGTGATGGACAGTATTTTGAGGGGAATTGATGACAATGTGTCTTTTATTATAATAAAAATTTAAAAATTTAAACATTCACCATAAGTTTTGATCACCCCTTATACACAGTGTAGTTACTTATTAATCTACCTTCCCTCTAAAATTTAAGCTTCTTGATCACAGGAACTTTTATGTTTTAATCATTGTATCCCAAGGGTTGAGTGCTGTGTTGCCCTACATAATGTCCTCTATTGGTGCAGATGTTTGTATTGACATCATTTAATCCAGAAACCACATTTAGCTAAAGGATACTTGAAATGTAGCTAACTAGCTAGTGTGATTAAGGAACTAAACTTTAGATTTTATTTAGTTTTTGTTTCTTTAAATGTAAATAGTAACATTAAAATTAAATTTAGGGATTTAGCTCAGTGGTTCTGGTGCCTGCCATGCAAAGGCAAGGTCCAGAGTTCAATCCCCAGTACCAAAAAACAAAAAATTAAATGTAAATAGTAGGTAGTGGAATGTTGTATTAACAGTTCTAGAATATTGGTACACAGTATTCTCTAACCAAATATTTGTTAAATGAATCCTTTTGGATTCAGTGATTAAGAACAAAGAGGTATGACTGTATATTTAACTCATTCTTTAAAAATTAGCAATAAAATTCTTTACTGAGTGACCTGCTCATACTGGAGGCTACATGAAGTTCAAATATATGATTCAGTTTCTGATTGTAATAAGTTCTGAATTCTGTTTCTTTTTGATTACAGGTCAAGAAAGATTTGGAAACATGACAAGAGTGTATTACCGAGAAGCTATGGGTGCATTTATTGTCTTTGATGTCACCAGGCCAGCCACATTTGAAGCAGTGGCAAAATGGAAAAATGATTTAGACTCAAAGTTAACTCTCCCAAATGGCAAACCAGTTTCAGTGGTTTTATTGGCTAACAAATGTGACCAAGGGAAGGATGTGCTCATGAACAATGGCCTCAAGATGGACCAGTTCTGCAAGGAGCATGGTTTCGTAGGATGGTTTGAAACATCAGCAAAGGTAATGTGTCTCTAAAGGATAAGCTTATAGGCAAGATTCACAAAGACAATGGCATATAATCATTATCATGATAATAATATGTGTTTATCCATCAATTTATGGTTCCCAAAGTAGTTTAAGCACTTTTCCATCTCAAGATTATGAATTGGCAGGGCAGGGAATATTAGCCACAATTTAAGATGGTTGTGTCTAAGGGAGCAAACCCACTTGTACATGGTTAGACTGATAATAACTGTGTTCAGTGTTTTTGAGTGCTTCCTATGTGCCAGATATTTTTACTTCCATTTTTGCATTTAGTCCTCACCACACACCTTTTAGGTTTGATTTTACAGTAAGTGAAAGAAATAGGCCATACATTTTGTCATTTCCTTAATTCATAAATACATACTATTAACAATCACTATGTTCACATGTATATCAGTAATTGCACTTTGTTCTAAAAGTGAAAAAAAGAGGAATAATAGTTGTGACATTAGGAAATTGGAATAGTGGCATGGCAGAGAGTACACATGTGGGGAATTCAGCTCATGCTGCTACTGGTCCCCCTCCTTGGAGGCAGAGAAGTGGGAGGTAGGGAAAATGCAGGGCTGGAGGATGCAAGATCCTGTTGGTCCAATGAGTATAATATACTTCTTATTATGCCTCACATTGCTGTCCTATTTGTTAGATGCATAGTTTTTGTGCTATTCTCTTTTGACTTTGCTTATATTTTTAAAAGAAATCTCAGTATCAGAGGACAAAATCTTTATGGTAAAATTTTAATTAATTTAATTTTTGATTAATATGTAATACCCATATAGATGAAGCTGATTTTGATGCTTTAATTCTTGTATACATTGGATAATGACTCAAGGTAATTACCATCTCTACCACTTTATTATAGTGTTTTTTTCTGAATTTTTTGTCTGTATATAAGTAAATGTTTTACATTATTAAGATTGTCATCTGCATAGTTTTATATCATGATTGTTTTATTAATTTATGCAGCACCATTATTTGGATATTTGTGGAGCACAGTCTCTTCCTACTTGTTTGAGATTCAACTATGCTCAGACAGATATCTCATTATTTATGGAGTTCACACTTAGGCCTTATTGTAATCATTTGTGGACATTATTAGAAAATGGTTTGAAAATATTTGAATTAGTCTGTGGGTGTTACATTTGCGTGATAGTGTGACTATAGGTATTAATAATGTGCTTTGTATTTCAAAAACAACAGAAGAAATGCATTTTGAAAATTTTAAATGATAAATGTTTGAGGAAATACATATGTTTACCCAGATTTAAACTTTACATGTTTTCTTATGAAAAAATGGTGAGGATTTGTCCTAGTGTAGTAGCTATAAGGGTTGGGACAAAAAAACACTACTTGAGAATATCATTAACTTTTGAAAACAGCAGGACTTAGTAGTTCCTTGGTTCTCATATTCTTGTTTTCTTTCTGATTTTCCAGTATTCTAGCATGTTTTTGGACCTCTTTTTAAAATTTTTATTAATTTTATTGGTACATTTTAGGTATACAATACAATGACATTCATCATTGGAAATTTGTACCTTTATATAATATATAAATAGGGAGAGTTGAAGGGAGGACAGGGGAATGGGGGAATAGTAAGAACCTCTTCTTTCTTTTTAAAGTTCTATACTTGCCCTATTTCTCAGGATTCCTCTATCATCCCCTGTTTCTTGGATGTCATTGAACCTATTTAGTTTGAAAGATTTATTGCTGTCAAGGGAGACAGGTAGAGCAAAACTAAGACATGATTAAGTTACAGAAATTTAACAAATGTTACACGTTATAATACTCTGATTCTGTTTTTTCGGTGTTAGCCTGGATTTTTCTTTTGAATTCCAAAAGGTAGGTGAAGTCATCTATTATATCTCCCCTTCTCTTAGCCCTACACTCAACTTCACAGCTTCTGCATTTTCCTTAAATATCTTTCTTTCAAAAAGAGCCACTGTCCAGCTCAGAACCTCCAAGCATAGAAGAGAAAGAGATTTGGAGAACTCCTTTTCTCAATTGATTACTTTATATTTTAAGAGTAAACTAGACTCAATGATTTTTATGAGGAGGATAGTCTTCCATAGTTCATTTATTTAATAAATATCACTGAATATCTGTTATTTGCCAGGCAAATATTCTAGGCATTAAGAATAAAGACACAAAACAGACAGAATCTTGCTGTAACATAGAGTGACAACACAAGTAAAATGTATAGTGTATTCAATGCTAAAAGTGATGAGAAGAAAGAAGAGAAAGAAAGGTCTATGACTTATGGGAGGGGTTGAAATGGCTTGTGGGTCAAGGAAACTTCTGAACATTTTTTTCCACTTTGCATTGAGATTCTTTGTTCCGTCATTACATTGTCAAATTCTGTATGTTTAAGGACATGATGCTCATTAACTTCAGACCTGGCTGACCCTCAAACTTAAATACTGGATTTCTAATCCTTCAAATCCTCACAAGTGTGATCTTTGAAAAGAAGCTTTGTACAGTGTGAGAGGGGAGCATGGAATTTAACAAGCTAACATGACCCAGAGTGTTCATGACCTCATTGTTAAAGGTAAAATCCATATTGAGAATCTATTTTCCCCTCAAAACATGCTGGAAATTGAGGTTGTCCTTCTGAATGCCTTAATGAAAGTTGCTTGCCACAGCCAGGTTACTATTGAGTCAACCACTGGAAGCTTGGGAATAACATTGCAGCACTGGCAAAATGGAATGGTAAATGTTTAAGAATCTGTGGCAAAGTTTTGCTGACTTTCTTAGTACAGCATTACAACATTTACAAAACCTAGGCCTGGATCAAGCTATCTGCCTTAAGCTAAAATGCCAGATTTTAGGGACAGCTCCAGATTCCTTCTTTGATTACATTTAGGATCAGGGGACATTTCCCACAGAGAGCTTTTTCTTAGTGAATCTGTGAATAGTTGAATTCTTGAGTGACATCATAATCAGGTGGGTAATAAGCATCTGATTTCCTTTTTTCAACATTTCCAAAATTTCTAATGAGCCAAAGCCACAAACTCTGGCTTTGTCTGCATGGATACATACTGTAGAAATCCTCTGGGTATCATCCATCACCTGTCCCTCTGTGAAACTGAAGCTAGAGTGTTAGAGGAGCTCGCCATTAAACCATCTCCCTACTTGTTACTGAACCCACAGCTAAACAAAATCCACCTCTTTTTCTGCCATCTTTGGAGTAAGTTCTCTTGGGAGTTTTCATGCCTACTGCTATTGCTGGAATAACCATTATAACCTCTGGCTGACTAGTGAGTTAAGGGGAGAAAATTTTTTTAAAAAGTTTGCTGATTTTTAATTTCATCTCATCCAACATTAAAACTAAAAACCAGAAAAGGAAAGAAGGAAAAAAAAGAAAAGAAAAAAGTCATTCCTAAATCAAGTTTTCTTTGGTTATCAACTGTTGAGTTGTTTTCCTCCTTTTCAACTGTGTTTCTTTGCATTCTGCCTTTGGACTGTCTAGGTATAACTAGGGTCATCATTTGTCCCAGTATGCCCCAAATGTTCAGGGTTTTTGCCTGTTGTCCTAGGATAGTTGTTAATAATGCTCTTATTCCTGGTTTATAATATACATTTATATGGGCACCTTATAGATGAGAAACTCAATCATTTTTACTCTCTTTATCATAGTTTTATCCTAATAGTGGATATTTTATGTATTCCTGTGCCCAAGTCTAGTCTTCATATTATACTTTGACAAATTTGTCTCATTAGAACCTAGCCCTGTTCTTGTTAATGCATCTTGGGAGCCTGTTCTGTAGACCCAGCACAGTGGCTAACTGGGGCCTGTTACTTGCTAACCAATTTGCTGGTGCATTCTTGGTGCTCATTGACTGAATCTTCACCAGGTGCATCTTATGAATTTGTGCTTCATCCACATTTATGCATATTTTAGAGTAGTTGTAAATCATTCGGAGAATACGCAGGCCACAGATTCAGTATGTCGGATCCAACTGCACAAACACTATCTACTTTCTGTACCCACAGCCCATCTGCTGCTCTGGGTTTCATTGTCTGCACCTGGCTATCATGCATATGGCAGCTGCATGCCAGGGGAAATGTCTGTTTCTGTATCTCAGCCTTTTCCAGTCTACTCCATGGTGCTCTGAGAGTGCCGTGCTTCATGTGCGGCTGTGTTCAGAAATAAGACACCAGGGAAATGCCAGTGTAGCTGGGCAATAATGGAGCAAGTTCTTTCTATGTAATAGTGAGGATAAGAATCAAATTTCAAAAGAAATCTGCTTTGCTGCCTATTCTTTCTTTTCTTTATCTTATGCCCTGCACCTGATAGATTTCTTTGGCTATTTCTGTCTAAAATATAGTAATTTTTTAGGTTCACATCTCTCTCAAATATTCTAAGAGCACTGGGTGCCCTAGAAAGAAGCTTTTTTGCATTAAATTCTGCTTAATTTTGGTCTTTCCTCTGAAGCTAAAAGGAAAAATGTTGATGTTGTCCTTCTACTGAGAAAATGAATACTGTATGCCTAATTGTTTTCTCTGAGATGGCATTAGTTTTGTGTGTATGAGTGGTTGGGGTGAATGTTTCACACTGCAGTGCCTTTTCTGACTTCCTAGCAACTGTTAAACACATTTGTTTTCTTTAGAAAATTTCTAGCTCACCTGCTTAGGAAAAACCCATAAAACTTTCCTCTTTTGCTTCCCTTTGCAGTTAGGACACAGGCATATAACCTAGATACCACCAATTATATGGATTCAGAAGTAAGAAACTAGATGAAAAAATGCAGAATTCATTATTCTGGGGAGAGGGCTAAGAGAAAAGGCCTCCAGTTTTGTGAGACAGCAAAATTTAAAGGGTCTTGTGGTTGGCACAGAAGCAGAATCACTGCTAGACCCAGAAAGAGTTGAGTTCAGATTAAGATCTTTGGAGCTTCAACAATAAAGCGATCCAGTACTCAGAAAGTGACTGGGAGCAGTTTCCTCCTTAGGACCATCCTCTTTGGGAGCTGAGAATCTTT